CCAGGAGTAAGAAAGCCGCAGACGACATCGATGCAGCTGCGGAGGAAGAGATCAAGTACTACACTGGCCTTGTCAGACGCGAACAGACTGAACTGAAAGAAAAGTTAGCGGCCGTCACAGCAGCCCGTTTCAAGCAGCTCTCTGCTACAGCAGACAGTGTTGAGAGCACCTTAGGCTGTCTGTCCAGCACAGTGGACTTCTCACAGAAAGTCGTGGAGCATGGCAGTGACTTTGACGTCATGAACGTGTACTCTGACGTCACGGCAAGGCTCGAGTCTCTGCTGAAAGGTCCAACCCCGGACATTCCTGACGACATCAGTTACGTCAGGTTTGAGCCTAGGACGGAAAGGAAAGAAACAGAAATCATCTTTGGAGACATTTTCGGTACGTTGTTATTATTGCATGTATCTTAGGTATAACCAAGTGAAAAGAAAGTCTTAGGATTATTATATATTCTTGAGATGTGAAGTTACATGTACTTGAATATGATCTGTCATTTACGAAATTATCTTAATTCATATAATGTTAGTTCCTTTTTAATAAAACTTGTATTTTTGTTCTATTGTATTGAATATGATCACCTTTATCCTTTATTGAACCTCAAGATGCAAGCGAAGAAAAATGCATTCATGAATTTCACACTTCCCATAATGCCTAGTAAAGATCACGGATATGACGTATGACCACCCCTCCCCCTTCCTCGAAGTAATATTTCCAACAAGTTCTATCTACAAACTGGTCAACTATATTGTTTTGAATTATTTGTCTAGTATAAAGCGCATGCCATAATTGCATTTTATTGGAATTAGAAAAAATGACCAAAAGAGCAGGCCAAAAGAGCAGGCCAAAAAAATGGCTTGAGCTGTAATATACTGGTTAAATAAATAAATTGAAGTTAAGTTGAATTGACGTACCTTCTATCGTTTTACCTTCTACCGAAGACTCCCCTACTCGCACGGTCGCAGTACGTATGTCCGCTTCTTACGTCATATCCCATCCATATCCGTGTTCTTTACTAGGCATTATGGAAAGTGTGAAATTCATGAATAAGGTGACTGACATGTCGCCTGTAAAAATGATGGCATGAGCTTTTTTACGTTGGACAGCATAAATAAATGTTGAATATTCTCATTAACACTACAAGACTCCTGTCCATTCAGATTCCTCCTATACGTTTGGACCTGCCAAGTTGACCACCCTGGGCGCCAGCGGCCGTCTGGGTCCCACTACCCTGGGTACCCACTACAGGGGACAGGACCATGGACACCTGGTGACGCTACATGACGGGATACAACACTTCACTGTACCGGAGACGGGAACGTACAAGATAGAGGCAGCGGGTAGGGATACACACCATGCTGTGCCATTAAAAATGCCAGAAAATAACTATTAACTATAAAGGCCGACATTTGCTCAAGGGGATCTTATCCATGGCCAAGGATCTCCCATACCGAATTTCAGGTCATTCGGATTTAATATTAAGGCACAGGAGCCAAAAATGTGCGTTTTTGTCCGAAAATAACCGAAAAGCCCTATTTTTCACAATTTCAATGTAGAGTATGCCAAAATCTTGTACGAGGTTTTGTAGACATATAGACCAAGGTATTCCCATACCAAATTTCAGGTCATTTGGTTTTAGTACCAGGGCTCCAGATCCCGAAATGTATATTTCTTGCTTGAAAATGGCCAAAAAAAAAAAGAACTGAAGGCCTGTTTAAAAAAAAAAATCCCTGGGGGTATTTGGCTACTCTACCTTCATGCCCAGTTTGATGTCAGTGAGCCCAAAAATGAAGAAATTGAATCCACTTAACGAAATGGCAGGTAGAGGAGAAGGAGAAACATGGAAGAAAACAATACATTTCTCCCATACTATAGTATGGGTAAAGTGTAAATGTTTGAGGTAGAGTCTTAATATTACAAAGAAAATTGTAATAAGTCTGGCTATAACTTGATGGCCGACTTGTTTTTTTTTCACCTGTGTGCTGAAAGTGCCTGACATGTTTGACTGACAGGTGCTGCTGCAGGGTGGGGTATGGACAACCCGAAGTCCGCCCGAGGACGGGGCGCCGTACTGAGGGGAACATTTCACCTCAAACAAGGTGTGAATTTCAACTTTAGTACATGTTTTTTTTTCACCTCAATGGCATTACCACCTGAATGGCATTACTCACCTGGGTTACGGGTTACAAGTAGAACTGTAACAGCAACTCTTCTCCCTGAGTCAGAAACATCAAGATTGAGACCAGGCCAATTTCTCACAAGTAGTGAGGACTAACTGACCCAATAGGAGAAGCAGGGGTTACGAGGCTGGTCGGGAAAATTCCCTACAGCATTTTAGGATTAGACCATAATGGTTTGTTCCACTTCCGCTCACGTGGGTTCTTTAACGTGCTTGAGGTGTGTCTCTTCTCAAACACGGGACCTCCATTTTAACGTCCCATCCGATAAGACGCCCCTAACCGAAGCTAGGTACTCATTTTCACCTGAGTGAAGTGAGGAAATTAATGTAGTGTAAAGTACCTCCTCAAGGGTACAACGACGGAGCGCATGTTCGGACTTGTTCGGGGACGACCCGGAATCGAACCCGGGTCTCCCCGTTTCATAGTCCAGTGATGTACCACTACACCACACCACACGACGCCACACCACATGTACTAGTGTTAACTCCTGGTCTGTTCATGTGAGGCTGTGCAGCAGTAAACACTGTGTCTTATTTCACCACCGAGGTGTCAAGTCAATTGTAGCACGGAGTATCATAACGTTGACACGAAAAGGGAAAATTGCATTGACTCATGATCTGTTTTTTGTTCTAGATCTAAGTAAAAGTAACAGAAAGAAGAAATATTTCACATTAATTTTTCTATTACAAGAGAGAGTAAGAAGTACAATAAACTATGAATGTAAAATCTGATGATGTTTCTGTTTTAAATCTTTTAAAATTTTTTTCAGGTAAAACACTGAAGATCCTGGTTGGACAAGAAGGTGCTCAGAGCAAGTGGGGTCAGAGTGTGGGAGGAGGGGGCGGTACGTTTGTCACCAGGGAAGACAACACGCCACTCATTATCGCCGGGGGTGGGGGAGGGGCAGGGTTTGGACTACAGACTCGTAACCCCCTGTGTGACGGGACTGTGTCCACTACTGGTAACAAGAGTTATGGAAAAACTGGTTGTAGTGGAGGATCTAACGGACAGGGGGCGACAGAATGGACGGGTGACTACATGGGTGGGGGAGGGGGAGGGCTGCTGACGGATGGAGGGAGTTCTAAACATTTTGGAGGCGACAGTTGTGTAAGGGGTGGGGAAGGTGGGAAGGCGTTTGTGAATGGCGGGGTTGGAGGGCGTGGAGAATGTAATAATGCTGATGGTGGGTTTGGTGGAGGAGGAGGGAGTAATGGAGGTGGTTTTGGAGGAGGTGGGGGAGGGGGGTACTCAGGGGGAGGCAGGGGAGAGGGTTGTAACCCAAATGGCGGAGGAGGAGGCGGTTCGTTTAACTCCGGTACTGACATGGGGTGGGATGGGGCAAACGACGGACCCGGGTATGTGGTGATCACCAGACAGGTGTTGACATTCTAGTATATCACTTGTCACCATCCTGAGAGGAGAAAAATCTATATGATATCATATCACATGTAGTTATCCATCGATAAGCTTTATCCATCTAAGGTTATCCATCTTTAGTAGTAAGGTTATCCATATTTAGTAGTAAGGTTATCCATCTTTAGTAGTAAGGTTATTCATCTTTAGTAGTAAGGTTATCCATCTTTAGTAGTAAGGTTATCCATCTTTAGTAGTAAGACAGGTAGACAGTGAGAACAATATTTATATCAAGTTGTAGAATATGCAAGTGAAAAGCCCTGAGTATTCCCATTATAATGGTAACAACCAGACATGCAAAACAAAAAACAAACAACAGTGTATACAAATATAGTTTGGAGAAGGTGTTTTTGACTGCCCTGCATATTTCATTCTGTTTGCTATTGGAACACAGCAACTAAGCAAATATACTTAAGGATTGATGAAAATTTGTCTTCCTTTTTTGACTTGAAGTTGTACAATATCCGAGTTACAATGAACCAGTAAATACTGTACATAGCATCTGTCTTCTCTGTCACGACCAGTGGAAGAGTAGCTCTTCAATGCCACCCAACATGCACGTTGTTCATTGTGCTTGTCGAAAAGAGCTAGGGGAATTTCACAGGTATAATGAACCTGTAAATACTGTAAATAGCAACTGTCTTCTGTGTCATGACCACTATAAGAGTAGGGAAATGTATCTACGATTCGGTCCCAAACGTACGGGAGTTGGGACCGCATTGTAGATACATTCATTTCTGGACTTATCTGCTTTAAAAATTTCCCCATAACCCCCCCCCCCCCTGCTGTTCCAGAACAAGCTGCTAGGGGGACAAACCCACAGCACTTATTTCTGACAAGAAAAGCTATCTGTCATTAAAAATCCATTGCAAGACCATAGCATGTTCAGGACAAAAGATACAAAAAACTTTTGATGCAGTACCAAGGTCATCCACCGGGAGGCCCATATTTGACCTTGACCTTTGCCTTCCTACAACCTACCAACATACTTAATATCATCACAATCCATAAAGGCGTTCTGAAGTTATGTTGACTACAAATGTGCGGAAACATTAGCAAACAAACAAACACACACACACACAGAAACACACACACACACACACACACACACAGACAAACACACACACCCACACACACAAAATCAATGCGCGCTATGATTTTGAGTGCTATGAAAGAATTCTGTGACTTCAATATCCATTGAAAAGTAGTTTAATTGTTTCCACAAACACCCTACCATGGCCCTAATTGTTAGAATACTTACTTAATTTTAATTGTTAGAATGAGATGTTAAAATATGCAGCTTTCTTGGGCGTATTATGTCATGGCAGAAAACACGTTAAATTCGGTTTGAATCAAAATAGAAACATACATGTAGTCTGAATAACGGCATGACTAGTACTAGGGACATCCTTTTGACTGGAGGCCTGCAGAGAAAGTAGACTTGACAATACAATATTGATATCGACATATTATAAGAATATAGACTTGGACAATACAATAATGACAAATTATATAGACTTGGACAATAGAATATTGACGTATGACTAAAAACACCTGACAGAAAAAGGATTCTGATCACTAAGCTATCAGAGCGAGAAACTTGCATATTAGTTTGTGCAAAATTCTTCCAACTCGATGGTCATATACTGCTATCTAAAATGCCTGCAATTAAGCGTCGCTGAAAGGAACGTTATCGGTTAGAATTCTTCTTCTTCGTCATCGTCTTCATCTACGGAGTCGGTTCCGACCTCTTCATAGTCCTTCTCCAGCGCGGCCAGGTCTTCTCGTGCCTCCGAGAACTCCCCCTCCTCCATCCCCTCTCCCACGTACCTGCAACGGCGGCATTTTTAAATAGCATGACACGAAGTGTAACAGTGGGGGTTTATAGGTGCTACCAACTGATCCAGCCGATGGGTCTAGATCTTTTAGCCGAATCGTTAGAGCATCTGGGTTGTGGACTGGTACCTAGGTTTGGCGTGGGTTCGATCCCTGGCCCGGGACCAGGGGTGTTTTTCTGTTTTTACTCTCCTAATTCTTACAGTGGTTCGAATTTCCACACCGAGAATCGAACCCGGGCTTTGGCGGTGAGAGCGACAAATCCTTACCACTAGACTATATGGGACCTCATCAGGAGGACATTGCCAAGGACAATGTGTCGCACACTTAAGTTACAATTACAACGCCACATGCACATAAAACAACAAAAATCAGAGGTGTGTCCAGTATACAGTGTGTCACCCTCCCGTTACCTAATGTAATTGACAGATACCTAATTACAATATGTATACATGAGTGAGGAAATGTAATACTTGACCTTTATATCTATTTAACGAACAAAGATATCATTCAAATAGAGCTAGAAGCGCTTGGTGCCTTCAATAACATATATTTGTGTTGATTGTAAAATTTAAACATTTTCATCATAATGTATTAATAGAAAGGCAGCATCAGTAATAAGACAAACGGTCAAAAGACAAATATTTACCTAATCAGAAATGTGAAATTCCTATCTTATCACGATGAAATTATCTCACAATCTCAAGATTGCGGGAGTAACAGGTCATTTTGTGTAATATAGCTAGCTGCAGCCGCGCCGCGTGCCTGCGAAGCTGGTGTGTTACGCAGAATCGCGGCTATATAGTAGCCCTCATAGCATGCCAAAAAACTGGTGGTTTGGGGGTCTTCAGGGTCTTTTATGTGCTATTTTTTATTGCATATAAACAACAAAGCCGGCCTGGTTGAATTACCCCCGTTTTTTTATAACTGGGCTGATCAGAAAACAGCCGAAGACCACCAAACCCCCAGTTCTATAAGCCTGCTACGAAGGCTAGCTATATAGGTTATACAGATTGTATAAAGGTAAGATGTAGATTACCAGTGCACGAAGGCGCGCTTGGCGTACATCAGGTCGAACTTGTGGTCCAGCTGGGCCCAGGCCTCGGCGATGGCGGTGGTGTTACTCAACATGCACACGGCACGCTGAACCTTAGCCAGGTCACCGCCGGGCACCACGGTGGGAGGCTGGTAGTTTATCCCAACCTACAGGAGATACAAGAGGACTTGCAACCTTACTGCATCTTACAGGCGACAAGTGGACGGATTTTGGAAACACACAGTAAGAGAGAGAGATAGGAGGGAGGGAGGAGGGAGAGAGGTAGGGAAGGAGAGAGAGG